AAGCAGATGATTTTATAAAGGCTTTATAATAGGCATATCGTTGTTAAAAATTCTCCATTAAATTCAAGATGCTTTCTTAGCTCGTCTTTTAGTTCTTTGTATTACAACATTTGCCGTGTAAAGCGTATTATCATGTATACCAAATCTAAAATTTCAGTAGAAAGCTTCATATTCTAAAATACAGTACATTTAAAAAAAGCAATCCTTAGTTCTTAAAGAATTATTTCAAATTTAATATTTATCACAACTTCATGACCGGCCTCACTATACTGTATTTGTCATCCTAGACGAAGATTTTTTTCTAGGATTCACGTCTCTTCCTTTGTTTCCTTTGTCTAATCTAAATAGTATAGCACATGCAAAATTTCTAGATAGCAGCTTTCTCAGTATTTTATTTATCTGTTATCAGACATGTCTTTACTGACTCCCTGGGGGTCGACGCAGAGAACTCTTGTGAAGCTACTGTCTAGGATAGCCTAGACTGTCTTGGCCACGGTGATATAAAATTATTAATTGAGCCTGGCGGTTCCACGTGTCCACCGGCAGATGCTGGAGTAAAATCGTGGCCAGTTTAGGATGGGTCGGTTATAAGTCTGTTTTGTCGAATGCAGCCCGCGTAGTACTGGTGAGTAACAAATTAACGACCAGTCAAATACGTCATACCTCCTATGAATAGCACCGATGCCAGAAAGTGGTGACCCTCTAGTGCCCGGTTCGAAAAAGAGGGGTAAGGGAGAATTTAAAATTGTGTATAGCCCGGAAGTGGAGACCCGGGCTTCGGTAAAAGACATTCTCTAACCTCCCAAGGTAACAACTGTCTGGATAACCTCCTCCTGCCTAATATAGGGTTTCTCAGTTGGAATTCCAGTCCGTGTAGTGCCACAATAGTCGGCGGAACACGTATTGCTTTATTATGTCTTTACTGACGTAGAGGAGGGTGGCAATGCATCAGCTGATTGTCCCTCTTGTGTGGCTAATGGAGCTCGACCCTCCTGTCTTTGTCCATATATTGGGAGCAGACAGTATGGGGGAGATTAGCTGCCTTCACAAGATTAGAATGACTTAGGCCCATATCACACGGCGTTTGTTTCACACGAACAACTGTTTCGGACAATTTTTCTGCCTGGTTACTGTTGAAAGAAAGACGTGCGACTTTTTCCTTCCTTTCCAAAAAAAAAAAACAAAAACTGCAAGTTGTTCGTTTTCAACCAATCAGCCATCAGCTTCGAATGCTATCAGCTTGTTTGTAATGAGGAACCAGTTTCCTCTGTGTTAACCCCCAAAGCGATCTATGGTGATTGGCTGATGTGACAAAGCAGAAAAATTGTTTCAAACAGTTGTTCTTCCGAAACAAACCGACGTGTGATAGCCTTAGGTGAGCAAGGTTCCTGTGCCATTGCCCCATCCTGTGCAGAAGCACGTAGCAAACTTAACATAGCATTTCTTATGGCTAATATAAACAGACGGTGAAAAAGTGGAGATAAAGGTCTAAGCCATTTCCCCTGCCACAAAATCAGTGAAATCGAACAAATACATTCATATCGGCAACATCCTGTAGCAGTTACGTGCAGCAATAGCATTTCAGTCATGTCATCGTAAAAGTTCATGAAAAACGATAGCAATTGGCAGTGGATAAACTTCGTAGAAGCATTAGCAGTCATTCAAAAGAGCGTGGTGGCATCCAAAAATCACGGAAGGCGTCCGGAGCTAGTCTGATTAGAGTAATTTAGAGGTAGTAGAACCAGGACTGCAGGGAGGTATGGATAGCAGTAGCGTGTAGGCTTGGAGTAATAAAGTGGCTGTAAGTAAGTGTAATAGCAAGTAAATCAGGCATTGATTAAGGGGTAGGCCTCTAATCATATACCATACAATTTCAAAATAATGACCGAAAGGCGAGAAATAAATTAGAATGAAATGGAATAGACACAGAACAACTGAAGTAATACTGCGTCAGGTCTTCTATCATAGTTATCTGTAAAATCAGTCCATAGAAAGTATGGAATTGCCATTCGGAAGACTAATCTTTCTAAAGAACTTTTGTGCCGGTTTTGCAACAAGTACACTTATCAGTTCCATATTTAATTCTTCGTGAATATTACTAGTTCTAATGAACCCCAAGACTAGAAACACTATTCTGTTCAGCGGTCCGTACTGTTCTACAGGGACTGCAAGTGTACTGTCAAATCTGTCTCAAGCTGTGTGTACTGCTATATTGTTTCTAAGATTAAGACCGCGGCTTTGACGCTAATTGTAGGGTTGCTAGACGAGCCTGGTCTGAGCTCTCCCTCTGGAGAAATGTCTTTACCTCCGGTATCTTGGGAAGCTTTTGTCTCACTCTGCATTTTATTGTTATCAAAAATATTGTATCTGAAGAAATAAACCTTTCTGAAATATGGTAAAAAATTATCCGACACTTCTGTTCTAGTTTCTACAAGTACATATAAAATAAAAATTCGACTTACCAAATCATTATTACTTGTAACTCGGTTTTCTTACCTGAACACTCTGTATGCAATATGTTCTAGAAGGTTGTTAATCTAGTATTTTATATACCTTGCTAACTCTTGTTAAGATGCTGAAAAAAGAGACAAAGTATTGAGACACGCAAATAACAATGCGAAATCAAAACGTGCCACTATAAAATAAAATCTAATAGCTTTTTACACATCACTTTAAATATTTTACTGCGGTTGTTTCATTAAATAAATCACTTGACACAGGGAGACTGTATTTCCTTCACTTTTGTTTAATTACCTTAATTCTTAATACAAAATAAACGAGCCATTCTATATGGTTGTCACAAACGCAATATTTTATCAACCACTAGTTTTGTTGCCATATGCAAAAAGTAGAAACAGAAAAGCTTACACACATTCTAAGACAATAAACCATAGATCAATTATCTCAATTTCCGGGGGGGGCTGCGGACTGATGATTCAGCCATCAAATAAATAAATTAAGCAATCTTAGATTTTATACGCTGCTTGCAAAATAGCAACAACAACAACAAAAAGCTAATTAACCCGAAAATCATAGTACTGATAGTACATTGTTTTCAAGCTCTGAAATAATTCATGATATTCAAATATCAACTAATAATTTGCTAACACATGATTTGAAAGACATTGGTATTGATGAAATGTTATCCCTTTTTTAATTTTTTTTCTTTGAAGCAGTATTTGCAGAAATATGTCTCATATAATAATGAATTTACGTTCCATGTTCTTTGTCGGTGACACACAGAAGATTGCCATTATAAATTGTTTTTATTTATAATATGGGGGAAATTTTTTATCTTTATAGGGTGAATGGACTGATCACAAACTTCCATGGAATAAATTATTGGTTAAACTTGGCACCATGTTGAAATCTCTTAATGTCTCCCTCATTATGATAGAGCCTTCTTTGATATTCTGCATGCTGTCGCCAACCAACAAGCTTCTTGCATTGAAGAATGGCTTTGTACCAAGCAAGGTGGAAGGATTTAACGACGTTATCTCTTTAGCAGTGTTAGAGGATGATTTTAAAATATTAGAAAAGGTTAGTTCTGGTAAGTTATGAGTTATAAAGACGACATAATATTTAGTTTAGGAAACTTTGACTTAAGATTCAAATTTCGAGAAGCTTGAGACACTAATGAGAAGAGAAACCTAGGAATATAGCTGGTTAAAGATGGACTTATGTCTCTTTGTTGCTCTTACTAGGACCATTTAAAATATGTATGGGCTTTCAATGGGTCATTTTAAAGGAAATAGAAGCGCTTAACATTTCAAAATATCGTCATTTAATGAATTTCGAAAATCTTCCTGACATAGCTTGTAGGCGCAGTAAGTAGCGTTTCGTCTTCATCATCTTTAAGCATTCAATTATATGTGTGTCGTTTTAATATTTTTAATGCACTCTAGGTACTTTGCTTTTATTCAAATCATGGTACGTTTCAGAAACTTTTGCAGAAAATGTTTTTTTCTTATATAATGATATAAACCTGTAACAAAACCATTTTGTTAGATTATCCTGAACAGGTAACCATATGTTTGAAATAACAACTAGTTTTATTATTTTTGATCAGCTGAATATTATTACATTTCAAACTGTGCACTAGTTTGTTTTTAAGATGACTTAAAATATATTTTTAATTAGGCTGATTGTAATGTCTATGGCATTTGAATATTTTAAAATTTTTATATAAATTGTAATTCTTAAAATTTATTCTAAACTTTTCCTTCATACATGCAAGCATCTGCATGTGTACTTTTAGAACAGTTAAACACACATTCAAATAACCTACTTTATAATGTTGCTTTTCATGCGTGTATGGTAATCCGCGTGTTCTTGCAAAAAAAAAAAAAAAAAAAAAAAAAAAATACTGAATAAGCCTTTCGTTAGGGGGAATAGTTCAAGGTATTTTAATCGTATGCTTCGACACGGGAGCATAGTTTCATGATACGAAACAAAAGTTATTGGAAATTAAACATAAATAGAATATAAGCATTCTGAAAGCATATTTTACAAATACAGAATAATGTAAGAATGTATCACGGACTCTTTTTTTTTTTTTTTTTTTTTTTTTTTTTTTTTTTTTAAAAGCATTTCTTCATGAGCTGAAAGATTAGCAAAATTGTGTTGACAGAAAAAATTTCATCAATTAAGGTTTATTAACTATTTAATTAAAGGCTAACATTACATTAAGATCGTTTAACAGAACACATCAAAGTAATGCTGAACAATAAATATATATTATTATTAAATGTAGTTTTATAGAATTTATGGCATGTGGCCTAGAACTGTATGACTCAGTTAGTGTCTGTCACACATAGTCAAATAAAAAATGAGACTAATATTTTTTATCATTGCTATTAAATATTATTACATATTAAACATATAAGGTTTACTTTTAATATGTTAATATGGTAAGCTAATAATTGCAGCGTCTTTATTCTGCAGGAAGAAACTATCGAAAAATTACTATCATCTGGATTCCAGATCTTTCGAACGCGCAAATGGAGTAACACGAGCGAGAAATCATCGGATCACTTCAATTTCAAAAGTGATTCGTTGGATCCTTTTTATACATCCCATTACTTGATTTACCAGTATCATCTGATATTCCACATAATCATTTTATATAGACGAGGAACATTTTTGTGGCATGCTGGTCTCTTTAAGGATGACTTGGGATTTAAAGATTTGCTTTTTGTGCAAGCAGGAGCTTATGAAAAGTAAACTTTTCGCCTTTAAATATTGTTTAGATTTTTTCATTAAATTTATATTTTTAGGTGCATATTATTCTTTATTAGGGTTCATTATTATTGCTTTTTAAGGGGTAATTTACACAACTGTTCTAAATTTTGCATTATGAAGCAAAAATGAGCGCTATCCCGAAAGTTCATGACAGACAGCACTACTCATAGTTTATCATTAAGACGTTTAGTGCAGCTTATGTTTTCCATACAATTGCCTTCATTCTCAATACACCTCTCCAGTGAAGAACTAGCTTCTAACATGCGAGATACAAGCACATTTTCTAACACTCGATCTAAGACTGCAGATGTGACAACTTTAATTTTTTCGTCTATACAAAACTTTTGTCCTATTAAGAATTAGTGAGGCTATGAAGAACGTAAGTGTGAACTGTATCTTGTATGAAGGAAGAAGTAGACTGCGCACCAGTTTTCTCCAAAGTTTCGATAGTCTCTTCTGCCACATGTGCTCGGCTGTTATGACCGAGAAACGATTCCCATGAAGCAGATCAGTTTATTTCTGAGAATTATTCGCTGAAAAATAGTGTCCTAATCATGTTAATTCAAAGTTCACTTGTTTAGTATTCAACATTGAAGTTCTATTACACGCATATCGAACGCATGCAGACAAAGCATTCACTTGTTTAAGCTAGGAGCCAGAATTACAAAATTTGGGAGAGATGATGAATCACTGAGTCCATGTGTTGGGCTGCTGCTTTGATTCTGGATTATACTGGCTGATCCAGAATTCACCGGTGGTGACTATACTAGTTAATTTTTTCATATTAGTTTAAGAACTTAACGCCATACAGTTGGTGTTTACACTCGGTTATTCAGTAAACGGGTATCAGGAGATTATTTCATAGGCTTCTAAACCATATCGAGACATTTTGCTGTACAATCACTGACTGCGTTTAGCTGAAAATTTCTCAAACAGATAAATGTCTTTCAACATTGTCTCTATTTTTATGTTTCAGAGATGCTGATGTGAGCTCATTTCTCATGTCAAAAAGGAAACAACAATACATTAAGTTTGCTTTCTCACTGTGCTTCCGCGATTTGAATGCCTGTCTGCCATTCTGCTCTAGTCTGATCATCTGTCATATCTAGTCTGGTCAAAATTCTCTTTCATCACTTTTGCATAACATGACCCAAAATTTAATAGAAGTTTAATAGATCCCACATATTGCCATGTCTGTTAATCAGCGGTATATCCATCAATCTTACAATTCCACTCTTACAGCGAGCAAAGAAAGGACAAATGTGTATTTGGATTTGCTCACACAAACAAAGTAAGATACGGGTTGTCTTCACGGGTGAAAATAACGTCAATCTGCCACCGAGCGGTAATATAAGTCGCTGAACTCGGGTAGTTCGATCTTGGTTTGATTTCAGGTGAATTGGCTTGCTGCATGTGTGTTTCCAGTGGTTTTCGGTACTTAACCTGTATACGAGCTAGTCTTCCTTAGAAAAGACCTTCACATAGCCGCCCTTTCTCTTATGCAGATAGCCGTTGCATGCTTTGTCATAGTTAAATAAACCAAACCAAGCATGACAATCATGAAATCCTTTGCACACAGTCGGCGCATTTTAGACAATCGGTGAACTTTCGGAACAATCCCCGTATATTTAATAGTTCTTAATATAATCTTGCCGATAAGTCATATACGAAACTAACTAAATGCGGCAAAGGTTCCACTCCCTGCAAAAAATTTCAGAATAAAAATAGGCCTTCCATCTAAAAAGCAAACTGATATGTTCTCGCTATCTAACTAAATTTTTAGTTTTATAACATAATAAGCTATTTATAGTGTGCACAAGTTGGATATTTTTGCAGAATGGAAATCAGTCAAAATTTCCAAAGCGAAATCTCCTTAGTTCATTCGCTTAATAATATCTTAAACGTGCTCAGTATTATGGATCACATAATTCGCTAGTTCATATATCGAGTTTTGATATTCTACCAGCGTACAGTAATTAAATACATCTGGTGATATAACGCAATACTTGTTAACGAACACTATTACGGTGTTAACTGTCTGGCTTTAAGCTAGTAAAATAAGAGTAACAAGTGTTTATATAGCAAAATATAAGCCGGTAAAATAATCCGATAGGTAGATTTCGACAGTAATCCACAAAACGAGTTTTCTTGAAGAACGCTTAGCAGTGAACGAGCTGGTAAAGCGGGAAGTTGGTCACCCAGTTGAGGAACGAACCAGCTGCATGACATTTTTTGTAGCATGTAATGTAAATAAATACTGTCTCTTTATCTTTAAGAAAGCACCTACATCCTTTAAGAGGAAGAATTCGCGTTCTGTGCCATACTGATCTTTCTAATCTTAAAGTAATTGGTTTTTCTTAAAATTTATTAGTAGCAACTTAAACATTAGCCATGAATTAATGTAATATAGTAAATTGTTGTATATTTTTAAAATTTAATTTTCAAGTATCTGATAAATGTTATTTAATGACAAAATTTTCTGTTGTCATTAGTGCTATTGTTTCTCCCGCCACTACAGTAAACTAAATTTGCAGTTTTACAGCTGTGCCACTTAAATCGGATCAAGAGCTGGGAATCTACCTTCCATCAGATCCTTTTCAGTTTCTGCTTCAGCTTCAAAACGCAGAGTTTCGCGAATGTTTACCTCATTTCTTGAACCTATTTCCTCTCAGCTCAGCTCCTATCCATCCTTTGCTAACAGATGAGCAATTACAATTAAGAGTTCTTATAATTATACAAGAACTGAAGACCAGACTATGGCCGTATAATGTCTCCTTTTGGATTTGGTCAAAAACACTATTAGGTATGTTAAAACATTTTTAATAATAGAAAAATTATCTGAAACTTCATATTTATAAATTCAGAAAAATTTCTATATATTTAATTAGTTTGTGTGTTCTTGAGCTATTCTTTCCAGCAATGGGTGCAAATATCCAGAAGCAATCATAATCAGCAGTAATTTATGCTTTTAGCTTTCTCCATTGGCTGTGACCATATTGGTACGGTTAGAAGGTTAGAAGTTTAGAGGTTTCACCATTCACCGATACGTCTTTCGTGATACACTAACAAGCAGATAATATTGAAGCTGATTTTCAGAAATATAGCTTCTGTTGAACGTTATAAGAGATTTTAGGTATGCAAATTGATAGAAGGCTTGGAAGAGCCGATTTGATACCATACAGCAGACGCCAGCCAATCACGTCAGCGAAGCATAACGTATGTTAACGCGAAATGCTACTATAGTTTTATACTTAGGTTCTTGTTAATGATCTCTTTCATTACTTTAAACAACCCGCTTCGCATGTAGTCTTCCCCAATCGCTATTATTTATGGCAGAGAAAACGCCCCGTTAACACGCGCACGGAAGAGCTGAATAGGACGAGAAAGTAAAGTAAGAATACTGAATCTGCAGTAACATCATATCGCAAGACATGTGAAAACTTGGCAAACAAAGAGCTACAAAATTCTCCAAAGAGTATGACACCAGTATTGAAGCAGGTTATTTTTCTGTGACCTGCTCTGTAATATGAGATAATGGTGGTGCAGTTAAGAAAAGAGATCTTGCTCCACTTATCTTTTTTAAACACCTGCTAAAGCAGTTTAATCACTGCTAATTTCAGTCTTTGTTTCTCTGCTTCTTGCATGGAATCAGAAAAGATTTTTATCTCTAAAAACATTATATAAAATGAATTCATACCTAAACTCAGTAAATAGCAAAGGTACAATGAGAAACTAAAGCAATGAAACTGGTCTTAAAGAATTTATCCCTCCGAATATGAAGTTTTCTCCCCTAAAATATCACTTATCTCTTTTATGAAAATGAAGAATTTTGATTACTTAATGTTGTGAGTTTCCCAATTCTCATTTCTATAGCTACTAGTCTTATGTTGTTCAAAAATTTAACCTAACACTTGAGTTCTGCCATAATCCAAATGTACCAGATTAAAAAAAAATATTGTAGAATAACTTCTTCATAAGTGCGTGGATGATATCTTGATAACAGTGAAATATATCATATGTTAGCTTCAGAATTTTCTTATCAATGGTATTCAGGTAAAACCTTTTCATGTAATTGTGCTTTTTAGGAGGAAAAGAGTATTAAAAAAATAAGGCAATTTTCGTAAAAACAGCCCTCATAGATTCACTTGAGGTAGCCTATCCCTGCAAGGGATTACCCTCTTGGTGACATGTGGCCATGATTCTAATGCCCTAGTTATCTTTCCTCCTATTTTTTCGATTGAAGCATTTTAGCAACCATGACTTTCCTTTTGACCGTATTATCAGGTAAGAGGTTGTAGAGACATTAGGCTAATTGGAAAAGCCAGAGAGATGAAAAGTTAGCAAAGCCTTCTCCGGGAATCGAAACACGGACCTCTGAAATACCGACTCAGTGTGCTGACCACTACACCACGAAGGCACGTTAAGAAGGGGGAGCAATATCTTATATACTTCCCCTTTCAAAGGGCGACTGGGGTTTTAGAGGACCCAATCGCCAAATCCTGGGTATGGAGAGTGCTCATCCAACACCCTTTTAGTTCGGGCGCCACTGTAGAGATATTAGGTATTTTTTGGAAGCAGGAAAGATGAAAAAGTAGCAATCGCCTTCGCTGGGAATCGAGCCACGGACCTCTGGAATACCGGCCCAGCGTGCAGAACCACTACACCACGAAGGCATGGTAGGAAAACGGGAGAAATACCTTATAAGTGAAATGACAAATTTGTTTCAGTCCCCGAAAGGACAGGTCTTTATTATTTAATTTGATTTGTTTTGATGTTGTTTCTTCTTATTTTAATGAGTCTAGTATTTTATTTTTAGTCTTGCTTCGTATTTGAAATCCTGTGACTTGTATATATTTCTTTATTTCAGAATCTATCATTGTTTCACATCCTTTGATTTTCTAAGTGTGCTGTTGTTTTAAATTTGCGCTTGTCTGTAACTTTCACTTTAGTCTATTTGATTTGGAATTTTTAGACATGTTTTCGACGCTGCGCGAAACTTTATGGAGTATAAGGATGTCAAGACGACCGATTTTGGGCATAATACAAGCGTCTGAGCGAGGCTGAGATGCTGCATCTTTAAAAACAGACTTACTAATCAAGTCGAATTGTGCAACATATGCTTTGCAGATACATGGCAATCCAACTATTAGGTTCAAGGCACACTTATGAAACAACGTGTTTAATAGGACTACATTCTAGGACATCTTTAGTCCAGGTATCCAGGCAGCATCGCTTACAAACTTATCCGCTTCGAACAGATTGTAAGAGTTGCAGTTAATCATGTAACCTACAATCAGCCATCACATGCGTGTGTGGAGGAGATCTACCAATACATAAAATCTCTTTGTTAACGAATTTTTCCTTTTTTCCGCTGACAATAACTGAGTAAAAAGACGTTTCTAAGATAAGCAAGTATCTTTATAGTCCTTTCTACTATGTTAATGGAAGTACAATGCTTATTATTGTGGCAACAGTAATGCATTATATTAACTGTTATATTCAATAATTGTATATGTAACAGTTATGTTAATTAGCTGCGTAATACTTATATTAGCATCACTATATATTTCAAAATGATGCTTATAATCTACAGCAGACTCCCGATTATCCGCGGGCGGATTATGCGCGGAGCGGATTATTTCAAGTATTTATTATTATGTATCTTACATACCTATAATAGAGACCTGGCTAAGTGTGGAAAGTGTCAATATTATAATGGCAGTCCTGGCAAGGCCATGCAATACAGTACATTCCCGATTATCCGCGGAATTGGGTGGCGCGACTGCCGCGAATAACAAAAATCGCGGACAATCCGAGAAAAGCTAAAAACGGGTATAGCAAAAGAGCAAACAGTTATTCCAACTTTGAAAGATGTATATGTTCATTAAAACGTAAGATAAACAGCAGGAAATGCTACATATGCTTTGCAGATACATGGAAATCCAACTATTAGGTCCAAGGCATACTTATGAAACAACGTGTTTAATAGGACTACATTCTAGGACATCTTTAGTCCAGGTATCCAGGCAGCATCGCTTATGATGAAAAGATAGAATATTGACTGAAGAAGATAGAAGGCTTGGAAGAGCCGATTTGATACCATACAGCAGACGCCAGCCAATCACGTCAGCGAAGCGTAACGTATGTTAACGCGAAATGCTACTATAGTTTTATACTTAGGTTCTTGTCAATGATCTCTTTCATTACTTTAAACAACCCGCTTCGCATGTAGTCTTCCACAATCGCTATTATTTATGGCAGAGAAAACGCCCCGTTAACACAACGCGCACGGAAGAGCTGAACAGGACGAAAAAGTAAAGTAAGAATACTGAATCTGCAGTAACATCATATCGCCAGACATATGAAAACTTGGCAAACAAAGAGCTACAACCTTCTCCAAAGAGCATGACACCAGTATTGGAAGCAGGTTATTTTTCTGTGACCTGCTCTGTAATATGAGATAATGGTGGTGCAGTTAAGAAAAGAAATCTTGCTCCACTTATCTTTTTTAAACAACCTGCTAAAGCAGTTTAATCACTGCTAATTTCAGTCTTTGTTACTCTGCTTCTTGCATGGAATCAGAAAAGATTTTTATCTCTAAAAACATTATATCAAATGAATTCGTACTTAAACTCAGTAAATAGCAAAGGTACAATGAGAAACGTAATTATATTCTTGCATACTCCTAGAGCTCCGATAAACTTACCAGCCATTTGAAACTCTTTGGGATACTATTCATGAACATGCATGTATCTAAGTTAGGTTGGTATTCAGATAGAGAACTACATCATATCGCTTCTTCGTATTTTCGCCTTTGCAATCTTTGATGAAATGTTATGCATTGCCTTCAGCACCTCAAAACTGCAAAGACTATTATTTTGTAAATTAAATCTCTTCAGATACCGGAAGCATCCGTGTCCAGTAATTAATCAAAATCACATAACATTCTCATATCTTTAGGAACTTAAAAGTTCAACAAATAATCTTTCATTTTTCCCGAAATGTTCCATTTCTCATTTGAGCAGTCGTAACAGAGAAATCCTTGATTTTACCAACAATTCTTTTTGAGGCTTGAATATAGAACACATCCTCGGCATTACCCATAGCAGCCTCTTTCATCAGCATGTTGGCACTCTCATTGGTTATAACACCAGTTTGGGTTTTCCCCCAGTTCATTTTTCACTTCATGTATTTTCTCAATTTTTACAAGGCGATCTTTTATATACGAGACCAAAATATTGGTGTTTCTTTTATAATACATCAGAATATAGTTCTTTTTAAATATTATTAAAATGTTCTTCAAAATTCAGTTTCTAATCGAAAAAAACCGCCAAGATATTTAAGGCTTTCAACACATTTAATTCTAATATCTTCATATTTTAGTTGTGGTGGTCTAGATTTTTCCCACTTTTTGGGGGAACACAAATTAGATTTTTGTAAATTTAATCTCAGTTTTCTTTTTCAATCCACATTCTTAAATCTTTTATAGCAAACTAAAAGTTTCTATAATTTCTTAACAGTTTAAATAGCAGTTAGTACATATCGCGTATTATTTTTCGCTATTCTTAAGAGTTTCTTTTCTAGGTGTCTTTTCTTTTTTGTTAACGAGTTAACTTTTCGTTAGTATTAGTACATCGGATACACCACTATAGTGCACTAGGTCACTGCATACGTTGCTATACTTTAAGAGAACAGTTTCACTTAATAGTGATCTTCATATTAACAACTTTTATATCGGACAAATATAAGTTACAAGATGTATGCTCTGCATTTGAACACAAGCGGAACTGCACTACTCACCGAAATACACTTACGTACCTACAGTTTCTTTACTGAAGGATAGAAATTAAATAATAGTTCAAAAGTGCAGTTCCTGTTAACCGCCAAAGGTGCTTAGAACTTATAGTATTAATGTGTTATTCTTACTCTGAATTTGTTTTTCGTATTAGGCTGGTACTATAAATGCAATATCTTTGAATATACAAAACGTTTGCATCTGGCATTCCCATCTGACATCAACACAGCGAATTTGATTCCGATATTCAGTAACAACGAATACTGGACTTTGGACGAAATCATCGAACTGGTAAGATTACTCACTGTACTATTTTTTATATTCAAGTATTGTAAAAAGTGTTCTGCATACTTTAATCTTAACCCTCGAGATAATCTCTTAAATAGTGATCCTAGGTACGCGATTCCTAAATTTGTAAGAAAGACAGAAATTTGAGAAGAATTTCAATATTTTTCCTAAGAGAAGAATATATTTCATAAAAGTAAAATGTAATTAATATATAGTCTAAAGCAAAAATTGCCGCTACTATGAGATTCCCGTTGCTTAAATTAATCAAAAGTAATTTCATACCTTAATGAGTGGAATTCGCTAAGATAAGTTTGTAGGTTGCTATTAATCTGGAAGCTGAAGACAAGTCCTGCAAATCCTACTGGACAAATTACTAAGTTATTGCTACTTTTGAAATATTATGAGTCGTGAGAAAGTTTAAATAACTTATTTTATTTAATCTGAACTTTTAACATAAAGGGCATGACTTGTGTTATAGACAAATCACCACTTGTGGTGATGTTAACTAAGCAATAACAGGCAATTCAATCCGAAAGCTGATAGCATAGTCTAAGATTATACTGTCAAATAAATAAGCTATAAGCTGGCTAAATAAAATTTACCGGCTCTCAGGTTTAAAGTATTGGCTAACGAGAGAATGCTAAATCCTGAATAATCACTTTTAGATAGAGCTAGAGGAATTCTAATAGCACAGCGTTAATCCAAAAATTATTTCTCTCCAAGATTCAAATCTTTCAAATTAAATACACAAACAACTGATTTGCATTTTGGTGAGGAATACGAAAAGAAGTTAATAGTACAGATGAAAATCATAGTAACTGGCTAATTAACAAAAGAACCTTGCAAATTTATAATATAGTTTCAAGAAGCTATTTACATATTCAACACAGAATATCGTTCTATTCAAGCCAAAAGCGTTTATTAGCAAAATTGCGTAACTTTGTGCTTCATACTTGCTCCTTAAATTAATCATAAACCTCACATTTGAGACAAATTGTCACTCGGAAATGATTAACCAAGTTTGTTCTGAACATCTGTAGAAATTTTGCACTTTTACTGTACGAGAACCATATCAAAAGGTTTTTTTTATATGATAGTTTCAAGAAAGTTTTAATAAAATTCATTAACTTATTTCAAGAAATTCTGTTCTGTAGGTATACTAAAGCTGTTTGCGGAATTTAAGTAAAGAAGCTAATTTGATTTTATATTTAAAAAATCTGATGTGTACACCACATGATTTCCTTGTGCCTAATATTAAATTATATGCAATTTTAAATTGTTGATAATTTTACAACTATAACATGCAGGTTAACTAAAGGCAAAAAAACCTTAACATGTTATAGCAGTCCTATATGCAAAATTTCAGTATTCTGAGCTACTCTGTTTTTAGAGTTAGCGATATAGGGAGAACAACCCACGAAAAAAAATCTAACCTAAATCCATTATAAATCAGTTTTATAATTTTTTTGGAGGAAAGAGTTCTTTATTCTGCCCTTACGTACAGATGTCACTCAAAAACATCGTTAAATTGGCATTCGATAGCGGTCAAATGGTTTTCGTTAAATCTGACCAAATTTTACGCAATTACGATGCTTCCCTTTTACTTTCGTTAAAGGAAGTCAAAACTTCAGAGCGCAAGTATAATGGCACGGGGAATTATAACTAGAGCGGCATTGGTCCGCACTATACATTTTGAACATTTTGCTTACCATTTGGAATTTCAAGATGATTGCGAATTTGGTATCTTACATTATTTTAAATTATATCGCAGGAATAACATGTCCTCTGGATCATATAATCGCCTTCCAATATGTTAATGAAATTTTGTGAATAATCTTCATCAAAGCGGTTAATTTTCAGCCTCTAGAGTTTATCCTTTATTGGTTCTAAACAACTACTACGGGTGAACAGATTACGTATCAATAAAGGCAAAAAGTAAAGCTATTGATCCAGGACTCTTGGAAGTCATTTGGCCTTTGAGAATTGATGATTAGTACAGTTGATGGATATAAACGGTGTGCCCACCTTAAGCCAATGTAAAATTTAGCAGATAGCCATGAAATTGCAGACGGAGGTCTAAGATCATACAATGAACACGTAGTCAGTAAACGTCATGCTATGCAAATATCAGAACGAAATGTCGAGGCGACTGAGCGTAACAAACCGTGTGTCGGCGCGCGCAGCTAATATAGAAAAAGAGACGGAGACGCATCACATATCGCGCAGTGCATGAGTCATTTTTGTGAATTGCTAGAAGAATCACCTGACGACTCACGTGGAATGATGGAAAGCTGGAGAGGGGCGTACTGTCACCAGTGTAGCGCAAGTTCGATCAACAAAAGGTCGTTTCGCGCCGCTTGGAAAGCTTCAAACTAAGTCCGCTGTTGAAAGTTGGTGTGGCCGCCCGAGACGACAACGGCAACGGATGACCATATATCGTCTGCAGGGAAAGGCCGAAGCAGTCAGCAGCACCATTGCGCTCGCAACTCTATACAGCACGGGGCGACAGTGTCCGCGTTACTGGGCAACGCCTCACAAAGAGCCTATTCGCCCGCCGTCCGGAACGCTGCCTCCCTTGAAAGTTGGCCACCGCCACAGTTACGTGGTCAAGAGCACAAAAACGGGCAACTGATCATGGTCGTGTCTCTTTACGGATAAGTCGGGCATACCGAACGATCTCCACGCGTTTTGATTTGGAATAGCTCGGGACCGGTTTGATCCAGTAACATCAAGGAAGGCTACGGTGTGCTGGAGTTCTTGTCTGGGGAGGCATTATGCTGACCGGGCGAACTGAGCTCCATGTTTCGACAGAGTTCTTGTAACCGGAATCGCTATTGTAGAGTTCCTTTCCCCATGTGGCTCTGTCCGAGGTGCCATTGGCCGACTTAATTTTTATGCATACAATGCACGGCCACATCGTACTCTTGTTTGTTGAGAGCTACTGGGAAAGTGCAGATATCACTCGAAGGATGGCCAGGTACTTCCTAGATTTCAATCCCATCGCCATGTTTGGATACTTGGGGAGACGCATTACAGCACGCTTACATCTCCGGAGAACACCCAACAACTCAAACAGATGCGATTGAGGAATGGGCACTCCTACCGCAAGAAATGTTGCACCACTGGTTCTAGTATGCGGAGACGGTGCGAAGCAACATTGCATGAGGGGAGGCATATCCCATATTAAGGAACATCTTCTTGTTTGTTTTCCTCTTGGATGACAATCATGAGTCACACTTGTTTTTGTTTGATGCCATACCGTATGCATTGTATTCCTTTTTCAGCTCCGATTTTTCGTCATCCTTTACGTACATAATACTCTCCTTCATTTCTGCATTTCATGTCTCTCAGTTGATTTCTCGTGGAGTTATGGCAAGAAACCCTGCTATTGTTTAAGTTTTGCACACCAGTGTAGTATTAGAAACGGGCAGCAGTTGTTTCTAGAAATGTCATTACATTTTGCGCATTTCATAAATTATAAATGATTAACGTAAAATTCAGTTAGTATTTCCTTATGCCTGAGCTTTATCCCAAACAATCTAAATTTACTATCGAAATTCAAAGACAGTGTCTCTGAAGGTTAAATGAATACCTTGCAGTTTTAAATAAAAATTTTAGATCTCGTATGCAACTTAATGTGGAATACTCATAATAAATATCTGCAAAGGAAAATTAAATAAAAAAGATTGATAACGTACATTATATACTCGTTTAATTTAGCATTAGCTAATTAAGCATTTCAATAACTTTTTTCCTTTTTTACTTCCTTGTACGAAGTACAAGAAAGTATTGTAATCGCGAAAACTTTCGGGTATCATATTTCAACGGAAATATTCATTTTGACAGCTATCGAATGCAATTTAATGACGTTCTTATAAGTACAGAATAAAAGACTCTTTTCCCCAAAACGGATTGTAAAATGGATTTAAAATTCAAAAGAAATTTTTTTTCGTGACCTCTTGTACGTATATAAGTATGTATGTATCTCGTATAACTCTAAAACGAGTAGCCTCAGAATGTTGACATTTTGTGCATAGGACTGCTATAACACAGAGTTGTACACCTCCCTTTTTAGTTGCGATCGGCCACAACAAAACTACATCTATATATATACAGGGTGATTTTTAAATTGTTTTTTCAAATTAAGAGGGGTGATAGTTACTCATCCAGATGAGCAATAATTACCATAGAACAGAGTTTCTTAAACTGTTCTATGGTAATAGAACAGGGTTTCTTTCTTAAACACAGGATTTCTTAACCAAAGGGGTCGCCAAAAATGTTAGCAGTTTTTATATTTCTCTTATTATTATTAATTTTACAATTACCAAATATTTTTATACAGTGCATCTGAAAATAGGTAAAGATAAGACATTGCAGACAAAGAACAAAACGAAAAAATTTCGATGCATTCTTTTTATAATATAAACGTTCATTTTCCTTGCTTTGCATGTGACGCTGTCATTTCGTCTGTTACTTATTTAAAATTTTCACATTGTTCTATGTCTTAAAATTAGAATTAAAGTTATGACCTAAACTCAATAGTGCAAAATTACAGTGCAAGTGAAAAAATGGACAGTTTCACTCACGCATGTGTCGGATTTGCGCAATACTTATGGGGTCCCACAAAATTTTTGTGAATATTATGGGGTCCTGGGGCGTCGCGAAAAAATCTCAGTGATAAAAGGGAGTCGCGACTGGGAAAAAAGTTTAAGAAACCCTGCCATAGAACATAGGGTCGTATTCCTCTTCGAGAGGTAGAAACGAGGTATATTAGAATTCTAACCTGAAACAGCTTTGGAAAAACGAATGAACGAGATCAAAAGTTGCAGGTTTTAATGGAAAACTCACAGAGAGTGCACAAAACGGATAAAACCGATAACTTGGCTTTCGAGTATTAAATCGAGCTCAAACTTTGATGGCAAACACTCTAAATGCATTTCTTTGGTAAATGGCAAGGTCTCAACCTCGCAAACGATTGCAACAAGTAAATTACCTAAATTAATGGGGAACTGCTATGTTGATATCAAGTATCAAGGTAGCAGTTTTTCCCCCTTCGCCGTCTTCTATCCTTTCCTTCTGGACTTATTGTGCTGTGTTTATTCTACTCGAAGGGCCCTTCTATGGGACATGAAGTTCTGACAGCCGAAACACAGCATAAACTTTTCATGCTAATCTCGGTGCAGGGGAAGTTGAAGTTATTTGATGATGTTCAGCCCTTGATTAGATAATTAACTTGTTGTTTCCGAGGTTGAGACTTTGCCAACCAAAGATGTGCATTTGAGTGTTTGCCATCAAAGTCTGAGCTCGAATCAACACTCGAACGCCGAGTTTTCGCTTTTTATTCGTTTTATGCACTCTCTGTGAGTTTTTCACTAAACTGATTGTGCAACTTTTGGGCTCGTTCATTCGCTCTCCCAACATTGTTTTAAGTTCAGGTTGGGATTCTAATATTCCTCTTTTCTGCCTCTCAGACTGGAATGCGACCCTCTGTTCTATGGTAATTGTTGCTCATCTGGATGAGTGCTATCACTCCTTTTAATTTGTATAAACAATTTAGAATCACCCTGTATATGTACCCACTCTGTTACTCGGCTCGGTGAGCTTAGTTTCTTTTTATTATTATATGTTGGTAAACTGTGCATTTTTTGCTTTAAAAGGGATTGAATTATGGGGTTTTTACATTCCGGTGAAGCTTTTTATATATTTAGTTAACTACATGCAATAGTTGTAAAATTATCAACAATTTAAAAGTTTTACGTAGCGAGTTAAACCTAACGAATCTCCATATGTTTACATTTGAAACTCTGTAGAATAGCGGAATGAAGTCGGTTTCTACACCTTTAATGCCTTTTTGCCGAGTAGAACCAAAAGTAAACTTTCAGTTTTGTGCACCGAAAAATCTGCCTTCTTAGCCGTTGGCTGAATCGCTTACTTTTGCGTAGAAACTCTTAATTTTAATTGTAAAAATTGTTTTTATAACAGTTTTAATTGCATTTGGTGTTTTATATTTCTCTGCATTTTACAATTTTTAATGATGATGTTTTGAGTTTTTACGTATTTTTGCTTTGCTGTGAATTGAGAACTGAATTAATTGAATGAGAAATATACCTCTGATGAAATTCGAGGAAATAAGTTTAAATGAAATGCAACAAAAAATGTATATAATTTAATAGGCATGCACGGAAGTCATGTGGTGTTTATATCAGATTTTTTATTAATCCAGACTTATTAGAACAGCACTAGACTATTAATGACAAAGTACAGGAAGATGAAGTGCCAGCGCTCAAAGGATCGGTTCTAGCAGTTGAAAAAGCTCTTTTTTTAAATTCAAACTTTCTGTTATACTCTTATTGTAGTATTCAAACAACAAACACTATAAACAGTTCAAATAATTTAGATCTTCTTTGGAAGAAAGTTCTTTAGTTAATGACGCTTGTAAATAATGGTAGCCTACCAGCGGCTGAACGGTGAAGCCGCTGAACGCTGGTAGTTCAGTCCGAGTTTCCAACCCTAGCGAATATTCTGACGGGCGTTTTCGTGGTTTCCCCTATGTGTAATATGTATATACGAGCCAGTTTGCCCTAGAATGTCCTCCACGAATGCCTCCCTACCCTTAGACAGATAGCCATCGAGAGCTTTCTCATAATTAAACTAAACCAAATCAGGCCACTATATTTATTATCAAAATATACGCTCTGTTGCTGCAGTTGTTCCTAGCAAGTGGAGTTCGATTACTAATATTACATACTTGGAAGAAACTGTCCTAGGCCTGAAAGAAATTACCAGATTTATGAAGTAATCTTTCAGTCTATTAAAAGTAGTAGTTATTATAAGGCCTGTATAAAATTAAATTTCATTACATAAAGAATTCGAATTTTAGCATTGTTACAAATGTCAGTTTGAAACCAATACTTCTGCAATGACAAAAGTACCTTTTAGAAATTTAGATTTGATAATTCATTTAATGCCAATTTGATAACTGAATATATAGCTGTCTTTATAATATTTATATATGGCTTTCGAAAATTTTAGGCCCACTAATGGCCAAGCGGTAAAGTCTCTAAACACTGGTATTTGCTCCGAGGTTCGACTCCCGCGAACGGGCTGGCTGCATGCGCTTTCCGTGGTTTTCCCTATGTGTAACGAGTATACGAGCGGTTTCCCTTAGAAAGTCCTCGACGAAGGCATCCCTCCCCTTAGGCAGATAGCCCTAGGGTGCTTTGCCATTTAAATAAACCGAACAAAACCGAAAATTTTAATGACTCCGCTGTTTTTATCTTCACGAGGCTACTTGTTTTGCTTAATTCTGTTACGGAATATTTTTCTCATATTTTCACATATCCAACGAGTCTATATAAATATTTACTTTTAAACTTTCTCTAAAATAGACTAGGATGAGTCTTGGAAAATACTTTATGGATTTCTTATATTATAAAGCATTTTCTCCTTTCTTTCTGCATGCCTTCGTAGTGTAACTGGAAGCATATTCGACGCGTATTCGGAATGTCCTGATTTCGAATCTCGGCGGAGGACACTGCATATTTTTCGCATCTCCAGCATCAAAACGTCCTAATGATATGACAGTTTAATGATTTATTTTGTGTAAATAAAATTGCTTTTCAATATTTCCATGTTATGATAATAGCAAATTTCTCTTCTTATTAGGATGGTCAGTATTTGGAGCTTAGATTGGACTGCCACAGTTTAAAAATTCATGTTTATATCATACATAAAGAAGATAATAATATTTGGTATCAAATCAATGATCAAGGTCAGAACAAAGCTATCAGGTAGGTAAATATATATTTAACACTGAGTATTTAGTGTTGAAATTTAAATGAGATAATGTTAAAAAATTTACAGTAAAATACAATTTAAATTCTACCATGGTTTTTATAAAATGTGCAAAAATGTAATAATTTTATGCTGGAATTGCAAGTGAACTCCACATGCACCCAGCGTCATTCAAAATATTTTTGATATTTAAAAAAAGCAAATGAAGGAAATGTGACAATATGGGTAGAAAAAGCCAAGAATGATAAATGCTGTAGGATTTTATTAGACAAGTAACGACTGAAAAGAGTCGGCAGAATTGCATTAAGTTTGAAGTGAAGATGCAATAACATTAGTAAAAGTAGCTTTGGTGAGCCTCTAAAATGTGTAGATAAATTGCCATTGGAGTAAAGGGGAGGGGGACTTTACTTGAATTCAACATCATAGGTTTTGGATAATATTTGTTGCATTGCTAAAAAATATTTATTTGAAAAATAAATATTCTCTTATTAGCATGTAATTCATTTAGAACCACCGGAGAGTTTTTTTACAATATAATTGAATTAATTACACTCTCTTATCCTTTGGGTTATATCTGAAATTTATGGTTATCCATGTAGAGCATTAAATCATCATAAATTCAGTATACAGAGCAGGTACTTTCAAGGGCGGAGGCATCGATCCTCTGCGGGTTGATGAAATTTTAAAGGGGCAATTGGAAGTTTAGGGAGTTGATTGGGGGGTCGATAGCTGAATAATCGACCCCCCCCAATCAACTCCCTAAATTTATCGGTCGACAATTGATCGGAATAATCAAGATACTAGTACTATTGATAACAAAAATTTTTCAATAAAAATTGAATGTTAATTAGTTATTGATATGAAAATATATCGTATACTAAGGAAGAAATTATATAAAATAAATATAAGGAGTAAAATACACAAAACATACCGTATATACCCGCGTATAAGTCGAGATATTTTGGACAAGAAAAAGACTTCAAAGTGGGGGAGTCGACTTATACGCGGGGCCATAAAAAATTAAAAGAATCAGAAGTTCAAAAATTTCTTATATAATGCAGTTGTTTTTCCCGCGCTCAAATTGGACGACTTATCAAATAATCACTTACTTGAAGTAATTTCCTGATTTAAATTATGTGACAACTAATGACAGAGTTTCATCTACTTTAACTAAGTTTTCGATTAAACCAAAGAATTTTTGGCCCCCAACAACCACCAATATCTAGCAATAAAAAGTTTGCCACACGCCCAAGAAAGAGAAATGCAGATAGTTTTTACGTACGTATAAGTCTTTTAATAGTTATTGTTCTTCATAAAATACTTTGTTAACAGGGTAGACGTAAAATTAAAAAAAATAGCCCACGCAATAACTGAACGTTTTTTGAATATTTCTTTTAACTTTTAAAAGGGAAAATGGGCCGTAATTCTGGGAGGATTGACATCCGTCATTCACCCCTAGATGTCTGCCTCAATAAGCCTTCAAAGTAAATGTTCGAAAATATTGGGCAGAGTGGATTAGTTCCGGTCGACCAACATTTACAAAGGGAGGCAACATTAAAAAGCCCGATATTACATTAATTGCTCAGTGGGTTAAAAGATACTTGGAACGAAATACCTCTGAAATGATTATAAAATCATTTAAAAAGTTGTATTAGCAACGAACTAGTCGGCACGGAAGATGATGCTGTTTCTGAAAGTGAAAATAACGACGAAGGCTCTAGTAGTGATTGTAACAATACAGAGTTCGAAACTGAAAATATGTATGATGACGAGCCAATGACGACAGAAGAGTTCTATGAAATGTTTGGCGAATCTGACCATGAATCGGACATTGAAGAATTTTGATTTTGTTTATTTACCAAGGTATTTTTTCTTATATTTACATTTTTTCTCAAATGATTTTGAATAAATGTAGCACTTAAAAAAAAAATTTCGAAGTTTCTCGATAGATTTCGGAAGTGGGGGGTCGACTTATACGCTGTATCGACTTATACGCTGTATCGACTTATACGCTGTATCGACTTATACGCGGGTATATACGGTATTTTAAAATCTATATTTTTTAAATGTATATTTTTTTTGCGATAAGTGCAATATAAAAGTGAAACGCATTAACATAAGAAAACCTAACCAAAAAATATATGAAGCCTCCTCCAATAATAATACAAAAAATAATAAACCATAAATCTAATAACCTATTTGTTCAAAATTATTGTTAGCATTTTTAGTCTAATTGGCTACCTTTAAGTTATTTATAGGCAGTTATTTGTGTTATGCTGTATAGTATAGAGCAGGGGTTCCTAAACTATTTCAGTTGGCGGCGCACTTACAAGTTTAGCATTTTGTCACGGCGTCCTAGCTGTGTTAAACGAAGGTGTTGCACAAGGTTTGCGCTTTACAACCTCTTTACTACATAGTGTCATAGCAAATCGTAACACTTCATTAAATACGATTGTATACTGATACTAGTGTCCAGGCACAGAAATGAAAACAACCACAATCTGAGGCTCATGTAGATATACATTGAACTGATACACAAGAATATTATATTATTATTATTAAAGAAAATTGGAAAAAATTAATGGGACGGGTGAGCTTGCTGATCTCCACAAAGTTTTCCAAAGCGAGGGATAAGACTTGACACTGCTACTCTCATTTCTTGCTCCACGTTGATCTTTGAACGATATTTGCTCTTTATTACAGCTACACCTGAAAATCCGATTTCGCATAAATGTGATATTGCAAAAGAATGAGAATCCTTAAAGCTTATGAACTTAAAAGTTGGATATTCATTTTTGATGATTATCCAAACGCCATTAAATCAGAACAAGCGAATTTTGTTTTAAGGCTGTTAATACTGTCCTTGTTGAAAATGCTTCAATATATATTTAAATACCTATGGCCTATTTCTATAATTCCAGATAACAGGACAGTTCATTGCGGGCAGATTATTTTTTCGTAATCTCAAAGGTGATTTCTTAATGAGGTCTGACTATACTTAGATAAATGAATTTTGATCTCTAATCTATTTTCTTTTTTATTAGATACATGTCTCCAAAGTGTGACCTTTGCTCTACGGATTTATATGGCCAAAAAATTCATGTTCCGTGTGAACCAAAAGGAATTTTGGATGCAGAGCTCGTAAGCAATGGCACTTCCTTGACTACATCAGAATAGATTTATCTTCATCCAGACCAGTCTGGATTTGCAGCATAAAATTATGCAAATTATGAACAGCTTCAAATAAATTCAGCCACGGTGAACAAAATGAAATCAATATCAAGTGAACTTCCAAACAGTGTCATGTGAATACTTTCTCCCGATTCTAGTTCACACAGCCTGTAATAGTAACATACCAGAATAAATATAACTATTGAATATTTTCTCTATTTTAATATCTGGGAAACATGTATGCCAATATAAAAGAAGACAAAATCGAACAATAAATAGCCTTTTTTAAACATGAAGGACTTAATTCATCATCCTCGAAAACGTAAAACTTTTTAATATAAAAAATCAGTCCAAGTTTTTTTACTAATTTTATAGTCACTTTTAAAATGGTACATTAAATATTAATTTCTGTTATATTCAATAACTATTCCCGTTAGTTCAAAGTAAAAATGATTTTTATTTAACAAAGAATACTCATGCAATAACAATGTATTATTGTAAAATGCAAATACAGGCCTAGCACTAACAGCTGGCTTAAGCTGTTAGGTAATAGCTGTTTAAGTATTTGCACATTCGGCTGCGTGAAGTATTTTCAGACTTTTCCCACGAATAAAATCGTCGTTAGTTTTTCTTTAAAAATTCTACATGAGATGCATTCACTTCGGCAAAACACCTTGAGTACTTTGGCATTATTAAGCAAACAGACAACTCAATAGAGTTCAGTTTTAGTTCTCAAAAATATAGGAAATGAACAAAACAAGGTACAAATTGCCTGATCATTACCTACATCTCATCCCCCCCCCATTCAAAGATATTTTAGTCTCAAGCAATAATTTAAAAGTTACATTTCTAATTTCCAACTGGCGCACACCGTTAATCTTAACACTACAAGAAAATATCTGAAAGTTTTAGCTGCCAGAGCTTTTATAATGTTCTAACAAACAATGGTAGTTTGAAAAACACTGAAAATTATTTAAATTTTATCTTTTAATTCTCATTTTTGCAAATTTCTAAGAAATTCCTTTTTATATTTTGTTCATACTAACTGTAATGCGTTTTCTAATTTAGTGTTTATTATGTAACTAATAATATTAGATGCATTACATTGCACTGACAGTGTATTAGAACCTTGATAAGAAACTTATAAAGCATGAAACTTCTGCAGTCTGTGTATTTGCATTATTAGCCATTTGTTTTTCAGAAATACTAACAAGAAAGATTTAATTGAAATTCATTCATTTAATTCTTTAAAAATTAGAAATTTTAATTTATAACACTACGGGCTTTGACATATAACATGCTAGCGAGTTTCCTTTTCTCATGGGATAATCCCGGCGTTTCTGGATAGCTCTAGGCTAGACCGAGTGAAACTAATCGAAAAGGATTTTTGGACTGCACACCAGCAATGTATCAGTCACCTGCAATCTGAAGGGAAATCTAAAATATTCTCAACTTTTCCTTCCTTATGTATTACTGTGCAAGCCATAATATAAGTACAAAATGGGTCATATGATACTAAATTCATGTTTACTAGTCAAAAACATTCTGAATATTAAAAGTCAATTTCAGCCATGAATACTGTTTTTCTTATACATACCAATACATAAAAAATATTCATTTGATGCAACTTTTACATTATTGTTTGCCATCATAGATCATTATGAAAATAAGATGGAGAAAACTGTTTCTATAAAAGCAGATGAGAGGAATAAGAGAAAGAGGGTGAAAATAGATCTGGATTCAGGTGGAAAGAACAAAAATGTTAAAAAATAAACAGATGGAAATGGAAAAGTTCAATCAATTTAACATTTAATCAAGAACTGAACACCAATTCATGTTAACAACTAAATACGCATTAAACTTCCGATATTACTGTCACATGCTCTTTAAATGCATTTCCATTGGAATAATTAATTTAAATATTAGTGATATTGAGCAATAGTGAAAAATAAAAGATCTGACTAAAAATATTAAGACTGCATCTATATTTTTCTCCTTTAACATAAGGGTGGCGATTCTTGTAGTGGGTTTTATGAACATTGAACAACATATGATCTTCCAGTTTTACACCTATATGCATTTATCATTCGATCACTGAAAGCGGAAGCCGTAATTAATACACACTGTCCTTAAGTGGTAATGCGTTCTCAACGATGATATGGCAGAGCTGTGACTAAGTTTCATTTTAAATTTAGCAAGAGTGATAATGAATCATTTGATAATGTTACATGCATACGGGTTCGTAATGAACTGAATGCACACAGAACCGATGATAGCTTGATAAAATTTATCTCCCCGATAGAAACACTTTACAGTTCTGAAACTTTTGATAAAACTACTCTTAACAGTATGGCAGAGCAAAATCAGTCAAACTACTCAATCACTTCAAACTACATACTAAGAATGTTAAACAAGAAGCAATGCAAAAGGCATCTAAAGACTCGAGCTCATATGGAGTTATCTCAATAATCTGAACTCTTTTCTGCACTAAACCGAGAACTGATGTTCTTTCAGATCTTAGGTTTCCCCAGGCCGCCAAGAAATTTCCAGTAGCTTCGATTTTTCGAAATTGCTGGAAGGCATATACAGTTAGTTTCATATACGACAGGATATAGTTACCATTGCACAGGAATTAGAAAAAATACAGTTATGCAGTGATCAGACCATGTTACTCTTATTTAAGTTCTCCGAAGGCGCCGAGACTGGAGGACTACTAGTTCGTTTAACGCAGGTTTCTGGAGTACAAGCTGCAACTATTTCACCTTTCCTAATGAGTTTCACATTATCACTTATGTTGGCAATTCTCACCGGGATGGTGGTTTTTTCAATAGGTCGACATGTGCCGAGGCTGCTATTACAAATTTTAGACTGTTAACTGTTCTTAGGATATTCCAATATGACGTGCCGGAAATTTCCGTTTTCAACTGTGAATACAGGCAATAAAAGTTCTGTTCTTGCTGGTACTGTGATATCGTCTTAAGATATTACTTATTGAACAGATTTAACTCCTTTAATTAGGAACAGGGTTATATCCACAGTGACAAAATGTAATTTCTTATTTTTAAACTTCAAGAAAAAATTATATTTCCTTAGAAAAGCAAATTCGATAATGCAGAGATACGTTATATTTACCACATATGCCGTGCGATGGTAAGTCACAAATCCAAACGTGATGTTAAAGTGTAACCTTCCATCGATATCGATTGCATAGACACAGTCTGGAGGGTAGAACAGGGAGTCGTCAAGATGAGTTTACCTTCCAGTTGTTGAGCCAAATCTTTTCGGATGATGGTAACATTTCGTTATGTATTTAAGGTCATTATTGCAAGGAACTCCATTGATATGCCTCATGATTATGAGTCCATTACTGCCGTCACTCGTGGCAGAAATCTGAAGCGTTTCAAAATGGGGCTTCTCAATATGTGGAAACATTAGCTGCAGATGGCCACTAGTTTGTTTCCTGTTTTCTTGTTGGGAAGCGGTCTTCGCTTCTATATCCTGAGGTTTTTGCAGTTTCTTGGTACGTGGCCTTTACCACCGCAGTTACAGCACTTCACAGTCTGTGTGTTGTCACTCTTATCCTACTTAAAAGCATTGAATCGCCTGACTAAATCTTCTAGGTGAGCAATCAATTAATGCAGTGGCTCATGGACTTAAACAGCTCTGACTGAGTGGCGGCCACTAAGAGTTGCTTGCTGGGCTGCGTCGAATTTTATGGTGTACACTAAAGCACTTGCTAGATTCTTGACATCCGCCATTCGCAGGGCTTCCTCTATCTCAGGATCCGGGATGACGCCCATGAAGTACTGCAGAGACAGAATTTCCTTTGTTTCTGTTGGGCAGTCTGAAAATGCGAGACGAGAGAGCCTTTCAACATCTGTGTCGAGCTCTCGCAAAGTTTCCTTGGGCTTCTGTTGGCGAGATTTAAATTGAACCCTACTTATAGCCTTCTAAACGCTTCTCGCCAAAGCGCAGTTCCAACGCACCATATAGATCTTCGAAATCTAGCCTCTGGTCTTCTGGCAAAAGTTGAAGGATATCCACTGCCGTGTGCTCTCTGGAGAGAGGCGAGATGGGAATTTTTAATTTTGGAATCTCATCCATTTGCGTTCGCTACTACAGAGAACTGAGTTTTGTACACTTGCAAGGAGGCAACAGAATGATGTCCAGCTGTTTTTATGTATTTTTTCAAGCTATCAACGCCCTTGGTTACAGCAGCAGAATCACTCTCATCAATTCATTCTTCCATTTGCTGCTCGGTAGCAGAAACTCTCTCTTCAGTTTCTCCAACTTTATTTGCAACCGTGTCTATTGTGCCTTCTATAGCCTCGAATATGTTTCCTTTTTATATTATGGCAGTAATTTCTCGTTTCATTTTTCCTCTTGACCTGCTTTAATTTTTTTCTTGAGCAACCTTCACTTATTTAACGGATTATTTGCCACCTTCCATCTTTTCGTGAATAGGTTCCATCTTTTATTTAACGGATTCTTGGCCAGCCTCTTCTTTCTTGAATAGTTTTTATCTCTTCTTTAACGGATTCTTGGCTCGCATCCATTTCTTCTATAAATGCAACAAAGGCTGTCAACAGTTGTCATAGTTTCAGAATCCACCGCTCTTTTCATCGGTACTCAATCCTACTACTGACATCAAAAATGTTACGTGCGTACGGGTTTGTAATGAATTGAATGCACACAGAGCCGTTGATAGTGTGATAAAGTTTATTTTCCCAAAAGAAACTTTACAGTTCTGGAGTTTTTCCTAAATGTACTCGTACAGTTCTTATCGATGTGACAGCGCACGATCAGTAGTTACCACTTCTAACTGCTACGAATGTTAAACACAAAGTAAAAAAAAGCGAAGCGCTCAAGGAGAACTCAATACCCTGAACTCTGCTCTACTCTAAACTGGGAACTGATAGTTCTTCCTGTTTATATACGTTTTTCCCAGAGCACTGAAAAATTTCCTTTACCTTCGATTTCTCGAAATTGCTGGAAGGCATGTACAATTACAGTTACATAGGAATTAGACAAATTAAGAGTTATACAGGGATTGGACTAAATTGCCACCAGGCTTTGCGAATTCGTCGATTCCTCTCCAAATTTGGCAGCAAAAGTTAGTTGCCAAAACCTTCGCCAACTTGGCTCTATCTGGCCATTTGGCAAGATAGCCATCTATATCAATGTTAAATGGACCTGCCCTGTAATCT